CCCAAGTGCTGGGATTAAAGGCATGCACCACCACCGCCTGGCAATACTTTGGAATTCTTAAAGTTGGCTGAAAACATTACCTGTTCTATACTGAGGACAAATTGTAGGACATGGAATCTAATTTCAACAGGAGTGCCATGAAACAATGAAAAAGATGGCCCAGAATAAAGCTGAGAGTTCTAACATGTCACACCTGTATTCATAGCAGAAAACAAACAGGGAAAGCGCGTGCACACACATAAATGACAATTAGAGAGGCTAGAGAAATGGCTCAGCAGACACAGCACTAGCTAATCCCAGCACTCACATGGTAGCTCACAACTGTACCACCAGTCTCAGGGAATCCAACACTCCCTTTTGGCCTCCGTAGCATGTTATGCATAAACATTCATGCTGGCCAGACACTCACCCATACATGTATATTTATTTTTGCCAAGAGTGTATAGCAATTAAAATGAACTAACCCTATCTATATATCTGATAAGGATAAATTTTCAAAATATCATAAATGATGAAGCACAGAATAAATGGTTCATGATCTTACTTTTTAAAATTAAAATATTGAAAAAATAAATTAAGGTATAAAATTAAAGATAGTGATTATCTTTCACTATCTTTGAGGAAGAGGGAGGGATTATAAATTTTTTGATACTGTAGCCATTCCCATTTCTGGACTTGAATTGTATATATTACAAGAATGTTTCACTTTGCCATGATGCTTATTTGTTTACTTTTTAAAATTTATATTATAAACAAACACACATAAATATGCAAATGCATTAACCAGTTGCTTCTGTAAATGTTGGAGACATTGGCAGTATCATGCAATACTTAAGTTTATTATCATTTTATTTCTTTAAATGAAAGTCAAATCTACAAAGGAAATCCTCCTGTACCCAAAAGACATAAAGGCATATTCTTATGGACTTCTGAAAATGTTAAAGATTTTATTTTATGTGTTGAGTTTGAAGCCCACCTAAGCTACACAGAGTATCTAAGGACAGGTCTTCTCAAAACAAAACAAAGAAGCAAACAAACAAAAAAACAAATAAAGCCAGTGAGAAGAAATTAAGATTGATAGAAGTTAATGGAGAAGGCTAGGTATGGTGGTACACATCTTTAATCTCGACATTCTCGAGACAGAGGGAACAGAGTTAAAGGCCAGCTTGGCCTAACAATCCAGTTCCAGAACACCCAGAACTGTTACACAGAGAAACAATGCCTTGAAAAAACAAACAAATAAACAATCAATGTAGAGAATATGAGAGGCAAATGGGAAAATGGACACAGTCATCTTTTATCTCAACAGTAGTAGGTGGTATGGCTAGTGGGACAACCTCCATCTTTAACTGACATCCAAGGTCTAGTAACTGAAAAAGTTCACAGATTCCTAACACTCATCCTTATCTCTTCATACAAACCTTAAAATCCCATGCTTCCATTTCCTGAATATACAAATGTCAAGCCCTTAAGGTTCTGCTGCTTCTATTTGGGAATCTCTTTTTCCACTCTGCTTGTGTTTTACTGACTTACAATTCAATTTTCAGTAAAAAATAAATCCTCTTACTTGGGTTTGCTCATATTTGAGATTCAATTTTTATTTAAGAATTATGATTGTTTTATTCTTCTAAGACTCATCTTCTCAAATTCTGGTGTATCTCTAACAAGCAAAACTCATTCTCGAAAATTACTCAGATTGTGGCCAGTTATTCATCTTTACAGAGTGAATGATGGAGTGTTTTCCTACTTATTTTCTTAAGAAATAATGCTATTGTTGTAATGTCAACACACACACAGTGTATACACATACATATATATGTATGCATATATCCCCCAACACTATAGATAGTGTGTGTGGGGGTGGGATGGGGTGGGGGTGGGGGAAGCAGAGCATTTAACATGTACTAACCATAGGCACAGAGGCTAAGAATTTTGCCCAAGATCAAACTTGTGAAGTGTAAGAGAGAGGCAATGTACATATAGAAACAAACCTAGAGGGTATGTCCTTAACTTCTGTCTGTGAACTCCATATGGAGTTCAGCATGTTTTCCCAACCTTCTCTGTTGCTCAAGAAAATACCCGAGTACTCTTTCTTTCTTTCAAATCTCTCGGCCTTCAATCTCTACATGCTCCTTAGGTCACTTCTTCCCTATGATTAAGACTGCAGCTAAGGAACTGTACTCCTCTATAAACCTCTATATATTGTTCAAGGCAACTGTGCTGTTTTTAAACAAAGCATATGTCCCAATTCCTTCAATGATGCAAATAATTTGGACACCTAAACCTTTCTTATCAGTAAACACATCAAGTTTCTGTCCAAATAGCATCTTCTCTGGCGGTAGTTTGATCACTGAACAATAGTCAGTATTTGTTTAGCACCATGTTAGTAGATGCTATTTTTTGTATTTCAATGTTTACTCAATAATTTCATCACTACTTGGTAACTGATGCAAACGAGTCAGCAGTTGCTATTTCAGTGTATAATTGGTATTTATGTATCTCCTTCCGCCAATTACATGCTTGGAGAACAAGAATCTCTCCATCTCATCCCTACATCAGCTACATGTATAGCACCTGGCACGTAATAAAACAATAGGTCAACAAATACCTATTAAACTAATGACCAGAGCAATGCCTTAAGGTCCTAAGCTGCAGGCTTGGAAACTCTTCCTGGCCACCAGCCCTCGAGTTTCTTCGAGCACAAGAGACGCATAACAAATAAATCTATTTCGTGCCTGGCTGACTCCTACGCACGCTTAAGGAATATTCTACAAGTATTTACTAGCGGTTCTGCTTCGTTAAGTTACATACACAGTCTCATGTACATCACCAAGCATTTTGTGCAGCAGACTTTTTAAGTTTTTAAAATTTTCACGCTGGGACCGACCGGCATTCACAAACACATTAGTGGGTCAAGGAAAGCGACATTGCACCTTACAGATGAATTTTCCACCAGGGAATAGGGCGCGCTTACTTTGGTCTCTCAGTAAGTCGATTTCTGTGGCCATTTCGATATTTTAGTTTGGAGTTTTCATCACGTTTATCGATTCCTCGCAGGGGGAAAGAAGGTATTTTTTTAAACAGCAAACAAAAAAAGCAGCCTCCCGCTGTGAGGGCAAATAAAAAGCTAAGGGGTCGCAGGGGCAGCCGAGCCCTGGCGCGGAGACGTCAGCATCTCATTCACGCGGCGGCGCAGCCCGGCCCGCCGCTCGGACGAACCCAGGCGACCCGCGTCAGACTCCGCTCCGCGCTCGGCCGGACCGGGACTGACAGGAAGGGCCGCGGGGCGGCGCGCGGCTGGAGGGCGCCGAGTTCCCGACAGACCACGCGGGAGGACGACCCTGGGACGCGCCTGACCCGGCGGCGTCGTCCCCGCGGGGCTGAGGAGCGACGCCAGAACCGCGGGGAAGCACGAGCGGCCACGGAGTCCACTCGGCCCGCCCTGCGACTTTGAAAGCGGTGCCCCGGACCGTTCCTTGGAGACGGTGACGCCGCGGCCGTCATCACGCGGCCGTCGGCGTGCGTCATCGCGCTGTCTCAGGCGCCGGCAGGTGATTGGCTATCTGTCAGGCGGTGGGCGGGTCCCTGAGGCCGTGCTGGGGGCTGAGTGGGTTGCTTGGCGCCTTCCGCAGTGGCGCAGCGATTGTCTGTCTGAGGTAGTGTGGCGCATTTTTAATTTAATATAATTTTTGTAAGAAAACTGAAAACTGTGATAGGAGCAGGCACTAGATATGGCTTTTCATTGTCACTCCTCCTCCCCCGAGTCTTGATTTCGCAGACACTAAGAGTCTGTGGGCATCTGTGCAGGGCGGGCTATCAGTCTTCGGGCTGTGGTGACTCGAGTCCCCCAGTTTAGAGCCATCGCTTCTAACTCTGAAACTGGTGACTCTCTTGTGCCTAGAAAAGAGAGCTGTCGTCCAATCTTTAACACTGTGGCTTCAAGAAGGCACCTGGTCAGGATCCAGGATAGCCTGCAAATGATATTTCAGAGATATTTCTTCGGATTTAAGGAGAGATAAAAATTTTGCAAAAATAAAATAAAATTTGTACTGGGGCGTAAACTACCTTTCACAGTTTTACGAAGTGACGTTATGAGTATTTGAGCTGTAAAGTTTAAAACATAAAACATACAACAATGTTGGGGGAAAAAAGACATTTGTAATAAAAAATGCTCAGTTGAAGTTTATCGGGCTATGAGCTTTAGAGCCCTTGTAATTGATTATATGTTTTATGCATTGAAATAAGGTTTCTTTAAATATGCCCTGGGCCTGAGATAGCTTAGTTATGAACTGCTTGCCTGGACTTCCCCAGGACTCACATAAAAAGCTAGGCAGATCCCCATATGCCTTTAGTACTAGTGCTGGAGAGGAGACAGGATGAGGGGAAAGGGGTACTCTCTATCCAGCAGCCTAAACAAATTGGAAAGTGATTCCAGAGTCTGTGAGTCATTGTCTCAAAAAGTAAGATCAGGCATGTTAATGAGACTTTTTTTTTTCCTGTTCAAAAATATCTGGTGAAAATAAACTTAAGAAAGGTTAAAAAAAAAAAAAAAACAAGGAAGCAATGGTGCTACTAATGATTTACGTTTATGTAAAGCTAGACAGCATTTGAGAATGACATCCCACTGATACTCAACCTCAGATCATACACAGGTATAGACGCACTCCCCAACATGGACACACACAAAAATAAAACAAAAGGTGTGTATGCCCTGGATGAAGCTGGACTTTCTGTTTAACCGTTTAAGACATTTTGTAATCGTGTACTCATAAAACATCATTAACAGTATTAGCCTCATTCCTCTAAAAAGAGTCTCTATTAAATATGTATGTGTTGGTACTAGCCACGCAAAGGTTTAATTTAGCTTTGAAGCAGTGAAGCATCAACCTGATCTGGTTTTTAGTGGCCATAAACTTAACAAAAAACAAAAAAGCAAAAAAACAATAAAACCACTGATTGTGCAAGCTCCACTTCTTTTTAAGTTTAATATAGGATACTTTCTGATGAACTTTTTTTATTGACTGGCCTCAAAGAGACTTTCCTACATTTGAGCCCTACATTGTTGTGCTGGAAGTTGGCATTGAGTAAGTAGCTATAAATTTAATATTTACAGTCAGCATTGATAGAATATATTGGTGTGGAGAAAGCAAAGTGTAACTTCCATATTAAAATTATCAATAGTTTCATCTAAACTGAGTAGTGAAACAGAACTTTTAGGTTCGCACTTGAAGTGCTTGGTTTTATATAATCGTGGTTGAAATAAGCACAAACCACTTGAAGTTTGAGACATTGAAAACTAATGACAGGTTTCACTATAATTTTAATAAATTTACACTAAACATCTAGTATTGACATCAAATATGCTAGGCTCCTGTCTAGCAAACCTTCAGAATATACGAAGTTGGAATTTAAGTAAGCAAGTTTGGAAGCTAGCTCATTACACAAGGATTTGAGCCCAGAAAGTATGGTTTCAACATCACAACCTTTAACCACCACGTGATATAAATTATGCCGAATGTTTTAATGTTTAAGTTAGCATCTAATTACAATAAATGAATGGCTACTTTACATATTTTATTATAATCTCTGTGATTTACAGTTCATTTTCAAATGGTTTTATAGGGCTTGTGTTGCTGAATTATCCTTCTCTCTTAAAACAATTAAGAAATAAACACCCAGAATTCAAATGGTGTAATTAAAAGCTTTCAGGTGTTCCTTTGTGTGTCTTCTCAACACTTTTCACTGAAAAATCAGGTTTGTCTGTTTCAGAATTCCTAGTCTCTCCCTCTAGAATGCAGGAGCAACTGGGCAGAGCCTAAGAGGGAGCCCACTGCTCAGACCTGGGCCAGAGAGCACAGCTAGCGCCAAACGAAGACCTTCCAGATCTGTGTTCTATTGATATGTCTTTTGAGCTTCTCTTTAAAGTCTGTCATTGCTTGGACTGAAAACCTTTGATGGTCCCTCTGCCTCCAGCTGGCAGGGTCCCCTGACTTCCTCCTCCCTCCTTTTCTTTCCTTTTCTTAGAAATGTGTGGTGCAGTGCCACATGCAAACTGAAAAGCAGTATGTACTGTCAAAAAACAACAACAAAAACAAAACCTAAGATTTTTTTTTTTTGTAAATGAAGGAACTTGGAAATTTTTCTTAGAAGTCATTTTATTGAAAAAATATTCTTTAACATTTCTTTTACACTTTTTTTGTCTCCTAAGTGATGCTCCATGAGTGTGTCTCTCTTTTGATTTCCTTACATAGAAATGAAAACAATTGAAGTTAACCCTTTTTAAAGTGTAAGTCTAAAAAAGTGAAAACTGCAGATTAACAACATTTGTTTTAAGAAAGCTGCTAGTACAACTGTGTAGTAGGATAGTGATCACCTTGGTAGTATTAATTCTGACTCTGATGTTTTGTCATAGTGCTGTTTATGAGATCTAACTTTAAGAGATTGAGCCTTAAGATATTTTCCCATGATTCATTTGTAATTTTTATTGTAATGAGCTCACAAATAAAATCACATAACTGAGTTAAGGCAGCCTCTCAAACAGTCACACACTCCCAAACGTGCTGCATTGCTGTGCGGTACCTTTAGGACACTCAGAGTGGCCTCTCTGAAGCCACAGATCTTCATTTAGGGCTTTACCCTTTCATTATCAATTACATTTCTATGCACTTCTCCACCATAAAACAAACAAAGAAAACTACCCCCCCAAAAAAAAACCTATGAAAGAGTTGAGGCTAGAAAAGCAATTAGCTTACATCCTCTTCATGACTCGTGTCCTTTTGTCTGCACTGTCTTTCCTCATTACTTAGTATTACTCGTCCTTAGACTCCTTTCTTTATGTTACACTATACCCACACTTGAAGCTATTTCCATATGTACATATACATTAAAGTCTGTTCACATATTTACATATATATTACATATAATGCATGTCTATAATGAAATATATAACACTTGCACATATGTAAGTATATAATACATAATATATTTTTATTCTTTCAGAATTTCATATATGCATACAATGATTTTGCTCATACTTACCCCCTAACTCTTCCCAGACCCACTCCTTAATCTTTGCCCTCTCCTAGCTTCATGTCTTTTGTTTGTTTTCAAATAATCACTGCATTCAGTTTGTGCTGTTAATATATTTATCCATATGGAACTATCTCTTGAGTCTGAGTTGACAAAGTTGATTTCAAATCTCTGGCTCCTGCAATCTTTCTTCCCTTCTTCCTTAATGTTCCCCAAGCCTTAGAAGGAGCTGCGATTTAGACGTATCATATTAATACATAGCTTTTAACAAGACTTTGAAGCCACTGACAAAGCAGGTCTCTTCTGTTAAAAACCGTACACTCAAAATTTTAGTTGTAGACATTAGAATGGTATTCACTTGACATATAAATAGCTTCTAGTTCGAGCATTCTAGCTTAGGCTGAGAGATAATAAATACATATGTCTATAAAAGTAAATTTTATTCGACAGATGTAATTGTCATTTCAAAGCTTACTGCTGAATAAGGTCAACCTTTCTTTTTTTTTTTTTTTTTTTTTTTTTTGGTTTTTCGAGACAGGGTTTCTCTGTGTAGCCCTGGCTGTCCTGGAACTCACTCTGTAGACCAGGCTGGCCTTGAACTCAGAAATCCACCTGCCTCTGCCTCCCAAGTGCTGGGATTAAAGGCGTGCGCCACCACCGCCCGGCAAGGTCAACCTTTCTTGTTCTTTCTGAACTCTGGAAGGCTAGTTCAACTCAGTTGTTTTCGATCAAAACTCCTCTCTAAGCTAATTGGTTCAAACTATCTTCTTTTGGCTTCTCATTGAATTGTTCTGTTTGGCCTCAAATTAACTTTTGTCAATCTGTTCTAATCTTCTGGCTCCTTCTCATTCTCTGGCTTGTTCTGTTTTCACCTGCAACCTGTCCCTGTAAAACTGACCCATAAAACTGCCTCCTCTCTCCCTGCCCCCCCAACCCCAGTGTGTGTGTGTTTTTCCTGTTTGTCCTGGTGAGAATTGGGTGTATCCTATCTCTGACTCATTCTGTCAAGTCTTTCTCTGATTTGTCACTTTGTCTGCCCCTCAATTAATCATCACTTTTCAACATGGCTGCTTCCTTCTACAAATGAACTTTATCTACATTGTTGGGGATTAAAGGTGTATCCTAGGGCATGTCTGTATTCCAGCCAGATCATGCAGACCTAAAATTCCTCTCTATATGTCATGCAATTTAAATTGTGTGAATCAAAGTGAAACAGTGTAGCAGTTAGAGACTGGCAGGGAGGGTTATTCTAGATGAGGAAGGCCAGGGACAATTTAGATGTCTCTATTTTATCAGCCTTTGTGCAAAGAAACTGAAAGAAACTGAGGGCAGTCAAGTCTCAGAAATTGAAAAGGGAGTTGAGAAGAGATTTAGTTGTATGGTATGAGCCCCCTAATTGGTTGGCTATGCAATACCAAGTAAAAACATGTATGAGTATATGAACAACACTACATAGACTCAGCATGTTATATTTATGTATTTATATGCATGCATGAATGTATCCATTATTAAAGAAAAAGAAAACAATAGAGACAATAGGTGAAAGTAGAAGGAGGGGAACATTGAGGGAAGAACATGAACATGATATAGTAATAAGGGATTGAAGATGATCAGAGTATATTATATATATATATATGTATGAAATGTCATAAGAGAGTCCATCATTTTGTACAATTAATAAGTGCTAAGAAAAATGGAAAATACTAATAATGAATTTATATATGTATACATGTACATATATATACACATACATATGTTACTATCTGTCAGAAACAAAACAAATCTATGTACTAATGAGATAAATATATTTATTTTTATACAAAGGATTGAATCTTGGCTAAATATGGAGAAACATAAACTCATGTAGTTAAGTACATTTATAGTTTCTATGCTGGACTTAGTCATAACATTTACAATGATTTTTGCATACACAAAGAAACAGAGCTACATCCAGACTAAAAGTCATGAAGCTTTTAAGCTCCAATTGTATTTTGAAGTAGAATTCAGAGTTCATAATTTTCCATGGCCCAGATAGCCTTTTGACTGCTAGGATCTTGTGCTTACTTGTGTTGACTTGCTGTCTCCTGTTTCAATTTTTATTTCATTGTTAAGTAGAGGGAACTGTTCTATGTTGTTAACAAATTTGATTGAATTTTCTTTTAGATGGATTTTAAAATTGAATACACTTGGGATGGTTTTCCAGTGAGGCATGAGCCAGTGTGTGTCAGGCTGAGTCCATGTGAGCAGGGAGTGAAGATGAGGGTTAGGGCTCCATTTTTCAATGATCCTCCAGCCCCTCTTGGAGAAGCAGGAAAGCCTTTCAGTGAACTGTGGAATTATGAAGGTAAGTAGAAGTATTGTATTTTATTACAAACATAAATCTTTTTCTAATAACCTTTCAGAGAACTATTATTTTATCTTGCTGTTAGGAAGTAATATGCTTCTGAACAACTGACGCAGTTTCTGATCTTGCCTAACCATCCGTCATTCTGACTTTCCTCCCATTACCCCTGGGGCTCCAATATACAAGCAGAACAGAGAAAAATGGCAGGCCCAAATACAGATGTTTGTGTTGCTGCCACATTTCCTTTTTTTATGTACGTCATCTGCTATAAAAAAAAAAGTTGATATTCCCCATTTTGTCCTTTAAGAATCTTCAAATTGGCATCTTTACAATAAAAGCCTCCTGTGTAGGAGTTTTAGAGTATGCTACTTACTGGAGAAATACTGCAGTGTGAGATTTAATACTTACTTTCTGCTGTCAGATAATCTCACTTATCAAATTAAGGCCAAAAGACATACCAGGAAATTAAATGGTTTCAGGTTTGTTCTCTGACCTACTTGTACTATAACCTTATCAAGCTGCAGGCTTCCTTTTGAGATACTGTTCATGATGCCATCCCATAGATATAAAATATTACATTACATAGAAATTAAGAATTTTCCCCAAGATCTCCCACTCAATATATTTGACATTTTTTTTCACTTTGAAGCCAGAATGAACTGTCTGCCTCTCTAAATGAAAATTTAAATTTATTCTTCATATAAAAGTTTTCTTTAATGCAAAAAGCAAATTATACTCAAGTATGATTTCATATTTATTTTTTAAAAAATTGTTTGTAGAAGTCTAGACAATATCTGGCCAGTTTTAGACCGAAGTACAAAGAAAAAGCCATCGGTTTTCACTTTGTGTGTTTTAATGATGTTGTAATTACTTATAAGAAAGATGCAGTACATTCACAATTAACTAATTTTTAAAGCTACTAATGCTCAGAAAATTCCTAAATAATATAATAACAAAGACTTCCAATTATAAATAACCAGTAGTTTTTAAATTACTTTTTAATAACTAGTTTGAAAAAACATTTTTATGCTTGTGGAGGTGAGAGAACAACTTGGGGAAATGGGTTCTCTCTTCCCTCTATGTGGGTTCTGGGGCTCTAGCACAGGCCATCAGGCATATGCCCGTAGGCTTGGTGGCAAGCAGGTTATCTGCTAAGTACCACATGAGCCCCACCACTCTTTGTATTTGTTGTGTTCATGTTGTAGACAGATAGTCCCTGGCACACGTATGTATAACATACACATATTTAAATCTCACGTACATTTAATTCGTAGCTCATACATTTAGTTACTGCTCTATCAACAACCTATAAGTATCATGGAAGTCTTGTCGTACCAATGCATATTTCGCTGTCTTGGATGTTAACAGCACCATTGGGTTCTTTTACATGAAATGCATGCCTTATGGAATGTCATCAGTTTTGATGAATAATAGGTATTTTCTTTATGTACAGAAGATAATTTTATGTAAGAAGAGATAGGTGTTTACATCATCATTTCTAGTTTATACTTTGATGGGTAGAATTGCATTAATTTCTTTTTCTAGTTGTCTAATTTGTGTACTTGGGATAAATTCCAAGCTGAAGATAACTGGCCAAGAGTCCATCTGTGCGGAAATACTGATTTCCCTATGGCCTCACCATCACAAGGCTTTATATTTCCTTTTAATTCATGACAGACTTCTGTGGGAGAAATAGAAGTTAGCTTGTTTCATATGCTTTTCTTCTAGACTCTAGGTATTTATTTTGCTTACTTTCCTAATGGGGGAATAGTATGATGAGTTATGAAGCTTAGTAATTCACTTTTTATTCTAATGGAATAAATTATTTACTACTCAATCAAAATGAAATTTCTTATGTCTTGTCTATTTTCATAAGTTGTAGAAGCATTTTTCTTGAATGCTACAACGGAGCAATATTTAGAAGTTGAGCTTTGTCCGTAAGTATAAACTGCTTTTCTTAACCATTATTATATGATATGAACACATCTGTTTCTAGTTATAAGTTGTATGGTTATAGTAAAGCTTACTAAGTTCAGCAAAGTAGAGGTCATATTAACTGAAGTCAATTTTAAATCTCTATTTATTGTCTTGTACAATGCATACATTTAGAATTTATGTTTAGAATATATATGTGTGTGTTTGAGTATGTTGTGCTGATGTGATTTTTTGATTTGTTAATATAAATGATTCTGTAGTAATTAAGTTTTTTTACAAAGTGAAAAAATCATAAACAAATCATTACTTTATATATTTGCACTATTAATAAATTAACTATTTAGAAGTAAAGGGAGAGCACCCATCCCTAAGCAAGACAGTTTGTCCAGTTCAAAACCACTTGCAAAGGAAAAATAGTTTTCTTCAATGGAACACCACTGGGTACACAAACCACACTTAAGGGCAGCCCCCATGCCCAGCAGTAGATGGCTGAGACAAAATAAATTCAGTGGTATTTTGGTAGCTATTTATTTATTTACTTATTTTCTCTCTCTTGAGCTTTTTTATTCATTAATTTATTCATTTTATATCCTGATTGCTGCTCTCCCCTTCCAGTTCTCCCCTCACATAGTTCCTTCTCCTCTGCAAGGGTGGGGAATCTCCTGGGTATCCCACCCTAGTGCATCAGGTCTCTGCAGGGTTGGGTGCATCTTCTTCCACTGAGAACAACAGACAAGGCAGTCCAGTTTGGAAAAGGATTCCATAGACAGGCAACAGCTTTAGGGACAACTCCCACTCCAGTTGTTGGGCGATCTACATGGAGAGTGAGCTGCATATCTGCTATATATGTGCCAGGGCCTTGGTCCAGCCCATGCTCTTTCGTTGATGGCTCAGTCTTTGAGAACCCCCAAGGGTCCAGGTTAGTTGACTCTGTTGGTCTTTCTTTGGAGTTCCTGTCATCTTTAGGAACTTTAATCCTCCCCCCAACTCTTCCATAAAAGTCTCCAAGCTCTGTCCAATGTTCGACTGTGGGTCTCTGCATCTGTTTCAGTCAGCTGCTGGGTGGAGCTTTCAGAGGACAGTTATGCTAGACTCCTGTCTGCAAGCATAACAGAGTATCATTAATAGTGTCAGGGATTGGTGCTTGGCCATGTGATAGATCTCAAGTTGGGCCAGTTTAACCATTCTCTCAGTCTCTACTCCATTTTCATCCCTGTATTTCTTTTAGACAGGACAAATTTTGGGTCGAAAGTTTTGTGGGTGGGTTGATGTCCTTATCCCTCCAGTGGAGGTCCAGCTTGGCTAGAGGAGGTGGCCTCTTCTTGTTCCATGCTGCCACAGCTATGCATCTCAGCTAAGGCCACCTGAATTGACTCTTGGGAGCCTCCTCCATCCCAGGTCTCTGACACTTCCTAGAGATTTCCCCCATGACCCTTACCCCAGGCAGCTGGAGATTTCCATTCATTTTCCTGGCCTTCTGGACCCCTCTCCCATCTCTCCCTATACATGATCCTTACCCCTCATTCCTCTCCCCATCCCCCTCTCCCACCCAGTTCCCTTACTCCATCTGTCTCCTATAACTGTTTTATTACCCCTTCTCAGTAAGATTCAAGCATCCTCACTTAGGCCTTCCTTCCTGTTTCGCTTCTTTGAGTCTGTGGAGTGTAGCATGGGTATATTGCACTTATGGCTAGTATCCACTTATACATTCATTCATTCATTCATTCATTCACTCCCTTATTTTTTCTTCTGTGCTTTTAAACAAATCTTACTAGTCTTTTGTTTGTATGTTGTAGTTTCTAATTTTGTGTTTTTATTTTTGTTTGAACGTGTGTCTTTGAGTGTATGTATGTTTTTTTCTTGTGGTTTTTCTTAGTGCGTGTGTGTGTGTGTGTGTGTGTGTGCATGCATGTTTATTCTAGCCAGTTTTTTATTTGCCTGTTAGTTTTCTGAAAAGGGAAAGAAGGTGTGACGTTAGATGGATGATGAATGAGGAGGATATGGCAGAAGATAGGAAACTATGTTAAGAATATATTGTATAAAAACATTTATTTTCAATGAAAAAGAGACATAAAGATACAATAAATTACTACCTTACAGAAAGGTTTCCTTTTAGGCTCTTTTTTTTTTTTTTGGTTTGGTTTGGTTTTTCGAGACAGGGTTTCTCTGTGTAGTCCTGGCTGTCCTGGAACTCACTCTGTAGACCAGGCTAGCCTCGAACTCTCGAACTCAGAAATCCGCCTGCCTCTGCCTCCCAAGTGCTGGGATTAAAGGCGTGCGCCACCACCGCCCGGCTCCTTTTAGGCTCTTAAATGATTAAACTTTATGTATTATAAAATTGTGCATTCATGTATTTATTCATTTAGTTATGCATTCTTTCTAGCACATAGTATGCCATTTTTACATTTAATGCTAAGAATATAATCTAAACCATACCTAAAATTTCCAAGACTCACATTAAAAATATTACTCTTGCACTTTTTGTTTGTTCATTTTTTTTTTTGAGACAAGGTCTTACTGTATAGCTCTGACCAGTCTGGAACTCATGGAGATTAAAGGTGTGAGCCACTATGCCCAGCTGTCTTGGAATTTCTTTGAACTTCAGTACTTATTTGGTAACTTTCTTTATGTAGTGACCAACTTTTAATCCTGAGTAGTTGTTAAAAAGGAAACTTAGGCTCACCTGTTATCTAAATCATAGCATGCATTTGATACATGAGATATCTCTACTTACTATTATTTATTTTACATGTCACGTAAATGTTTCCCAGTATCAGTGTCCAATAGCCTTTGTTCCTTTTTAACTGACAAGAGAGCCCCAGTTAATCTACATGATACTTTAGATGTCTTTTCCCATCTGTTAGGTGTTAGTTGTTTATTTGTTTTTTGTTTGTTTTATGCTAACTCTAACACAGAAAGTGCAGTCATTTGCAATTCTTTGTTGTTTTGTTTTGTGAGACAGGGTCTCACTATGTAGTTCTGGTTAGTCTGGAGTGAACAAAGATCACCCACCTCTGTCTCCCAAGTGCTAAGACTGAAGGTACTCACCACATCAGGCCTGCAGATATATATATTTTTTAATTTTTATTGGTTTTGTTGTTTATTTACATTTCAAATGTTATCTCCCTTCCAGGTTTCCTCTCTGAAAACCCACCATCCCACCCCGCTCCCACTTGCCTCCATGAGGGGGCTCCCCCAACCACCCACCCACTCCTGCTCCATCGCCCTAGCTTTCCCCTATGCTGGAGCATCAAGCCTTCCCAGGACCAAAGGCCTCTCCTCCCTTTGATGCCAGAGGGAGTAGCTAACAGAAAGTCCCAGATGCCAGGAAAGCAAGAGGCTCTCAGGACCCTACAGATATTTTTTAAAACCAGAATTAAGTATGTTTTTCATGTTATCTTTCAACTATCATAACAAAGTATTTTATTTAAGATTATGATTACTTCTTATAAACTTTCATGAAAAGTAGGAAAATTTTAACTATTATGTGCTAATTTTCACCTTACAGTTAAGAAAAAAAGTTAAGACAAACAGTTCTAATTTGACTAAAAGGCAGCAAAGAATTTGGATTTGCCAAAATGCCCAAGTTTAAGTTATGTTTCTTTTTTGTTTTTCATTTTTAAAAGGCACTTATTCATTTATTATAGATACATGTATGTATGTATGTATGTATGTATGTATGTATGTATTTGTGTGCATATGTGTGCCATGGCTCACATGTGGAGATCAGAGGACAATTTACAGGAGTCAATTCTCTGTTTCTACCATGTGGTTTCAAGGAATTGAACCCAGGACATCAGGCTTAGCAGCAAGCTCCTTTACCTGCTGATCTATTTCACTAGCCTCTGTCATTTTCGTTTATGGGGTAGTGTCAGTTTATTTTCATGAAGTGACAATCTAACATTGGATACATAGAAAAATCGACAGTTTTTTCCTTAAGAAACTACTTGGTTTATACATTGTATATTAAATTTAAAAAAATTAAGATCCACAGGGTGGTTTTATTTTATAAACATCAGGATAGTTAATAATCAAGAATCATTTTTTTTTGTCTCAGGCAGTCAATTCTTGTACTGGCTCATATAACAGCTAGGAAAGCAGCAAGAACACTGTTTTAATTTTCAAGAAGTTTTACACATCCTGTGGTCGTCCTAAAGCTCTGTAAGAACAATACAATTACCCAGAAGATTGTTAAATGGAAGGAAGGGATTGCTTGTCTTCTGTTAGAGTACTTTACTGGAGAAAATCCTTCCTCAAAAAGCTCACAAAGGACCATCTGGGTAGAAATGTTTGGTAGACTTTCAGAGACAGAAAATTTATTTCATGTAAATACATGCAAACCTTTGCTTCTTACTGAGTCATATAATCCCACTTATTCATTCCCAGTAGAATTCCTTTTGAGAATATATTGTGTTTTTCTGTGGCGATGTGACATTGGTGCCTGAAGAAATGGTAGAAAGCTGGAAATCAGGTGGCAGACTGTTCAAGGTCAGCAGTGTGAAAAAATAGCGAAAGCTTAAAGTCTGTGCCTTGTTGACTAGCTTTGGTCAACCTGTGTTTTACATTTCCCAACTATTGAGCCTTGCGGAAGTTTTCTTACAGAAAGAACCTTTGAGTAAACTGTTAGATCAAGATTTGGAAATTGGCTCTAGCTTTCTTTGGGCTGGTTTAGTTTTGCAGCTGGTTTGACTTAAACTCCAAGTACTATGATTATCACTCTATTCCTTTTCTCATGCATTGTGTTTTCTAACCACATGAAGTATTTTGTATAATTTTATATCTAAAGACTATGAAAAGAAGGGACATCGAGATTGCTAGAGGGTAAAGAATATGACAAGTGGCACTAGCCAGTGACGTGTTATGATTTGGCAGCAGTGGCTTGTGAATAATTTCAAAGTCACCATTTCTAAGTAATATGACATACTTGCTCTCCCTGTAGTTATCCAATATTATGTTGCACTTTTTAGTTATTTGGAAATTTAGCTAAAATACACACATTTCAGGTAGAATAGAAGGTAAAAAGATAATTTTTTCTCCAATACTCATAAAGAATCTTAATTTTAACAGACATGGACAGCATTTAGTTCTTTTACTCTCTGGAAGAAGAAATGTTTGGAAAGTAAGTAAATAAACATATGAAAAACTATTTTAATGCACAACATGTGCATCTATAATATGTTTGAACTTTCCTTTTGTATTTCTAATAGAAAGAGCTTGCGTTATCATTCAAAGTGTCCAGAGGAGAGACTAATTGGGAAGGTGAAGCTTATCTTCCTTGGAGTTATTTTCCACCAAATGTGACACAATTCAACTCATTTGCAATTCATGGATCAAATGATAGAGTTTATGAAGCACTTTACCCTGTGCCACAGCATGAGCTGCAACAAGGACAAAAACCTGACTTGTAAGTAGAAAATAAGCAGAGGTTTGTTCTAACTACAGTTTTTGGAAATGAGTTCTTGTGAGAGTAGCGGTAACACTTGGTGCTTGATGATGACATACATTTAAGTACATGATAAGAGCTCTATGTTCCCTCATGACCCTCATCTTTTGACCAGGATAGACCATCTCATTACTGTAAGCAAAGCACTTAGTCTTTCATAATTGTATGAGAAAGTTAATTAGTAAGTGCTACATCAGCTATTACTGATATGGCTTCAAATTAATTTATGATCCTTTTCCTAGATAAAATAGCCAGAGGGATCTGTTTTTTGTGGCGTAGATAGAGGGGTTATAAACCTTTTTCTTTGTTACTAAGGAACTTACACAATAGTCACGTCTCTATTCTCTTGGTTGCTTCATTAGAATAAGAGGATCAGCTATGTTTCTAGGCAACCTAGCTTGTGATAAAATGACTTCTTAGTTGGTAAATGACATCTAGATTAAGTAATTCTGAATGAATTATAAATATATGATGGAGACAGTGTGGCTTAGGGATTCCCCTTTAACAGTTATGTTATCTGTGGGGCTCTTGAGTTTATGTTCTATGAGTGATTGTTGGAGGTCATGGCTCCTATGAGGCAGCAGGTATTTAATTTAAGCCAAGGTACCTTTAATACTTGCTCCATATGAATTTTTTCTCCTGGCATCTGAAGAACAACATAGCCATGGTGAGCCTTCTAAATGCTTCATGCATTGCTGCAAGGACTAGTCCCTTAAGGCAACCTTGCTTGGGATAAAATGACTCAGGGCAGTGGGGTTCCCAGCTAGGATCCCTCTGATAGGCTCAGCTAAACATCCTGACTCACCAGTGCTGACTACACTGAGTCCACAGGCAGCAGGAACTGACATTTGCCCCTTAGAATATGATACCATCTTTCTTCTCATGTTTAATGTTTCATGCTTTTACTTGACTCACTATTCCCTTCATCTCTCCTAGCAGATGCCTGTGTCTGCTCAACACACTTAAACATCTACTTGTGCTTTCTCCCCTTTTCTTCATTGTTGATTCTTAGCATCTTACTCTGGGATTCATTGATACAACTGTAAACTGGTTAATTCTGGCCAGGTGAGCAGAAAGGAATAGAAATCTTGGTGTCACTAACTGAGTGCCACCGTACTGAGGTGAGTTGCTCCTCTGGCTTCTCCCACGGAAGTGTGGCTGCACATTGGCTGAGGTGGAAGCAAGGCAGAGTGATTGATTGCTTATAGCTCAGAGCTTTACTGAAGCATAGGTGAGCTTTGCTCACTGAGCCACTAGAGAACACTTTAGGATAATAGTGGGTTTTAGGGGATGAAAACAAAATCATCATTCTTGTATGTTAGTCTCCTTTACTTTGGCAAAGAAAGAGCACAAATTTGTCCTCTAAAATGAACCAGAACTTATCAAAGTTTGAATATAAGAACTTATGATTGGCTTATAGCTAGAATGAGTTAGATTGATTTTTTTTGAGTGCATGCTTGTGCATGTGTATGCATGCACTAAGTGTATGTACATGCAAATAGAGTCCAGAAGATGCCTTCATGTGTTATTCTTCTGAAAGATTGTCAACTTAATTTGAGACAGGGTTTCTCATCGGCTTGGAGCTTGCCAACAAGAGTAGGCAGGTTGTCCAGTGAGCCCTAGGTCTCATTCTGTCTCTGTGTTCCCTGCACTGTAATTACACTTGTGTACCCTGGCATTTTTACGAATGCTGGGAGGATTGAATTCAGGTCCTCATGGTTCCTTAGCAGACATTTTACTGAGTTCCTTGAGTGCTGATATTTATTTTTCCCTTGAGCTGTGAGGGAACTGTGTGCAGAACTGAAGAAGGCTGCTTTGAAATATGGGTGAATGTTGTCAGAACTGAGTATTTGATAGCTTCAATGAGAAAATTGTACATAGAGAATACATTTAACATTTGTTATTTCTTAAAATAGAATGTTGTACTACCATCAGTGTTACAAAACAAATAGGTTTAGAGAACCACTGTTTCACAAAAGTGTAGTTCATTTCAGTTCCTTCCTTTCTTTACTTTTAGCCATCGTCTCGAATATTTCAAGCCTTTCAGTTTTAACACACTGCTTGGAGAAGGATGGAAGCAGCCAGCATCAGACCTGTGGCTAATAGAGAAACCCTATGTGTAGGAGTATAACCAACAGTGTCAGTCATATCTCCTCTGTATCTTTAAGGTAATCTAATAAGACACATAAACACATTTCAACAACAAACATTTTAACAGAGATCACCGAAATATAGTATCTCTGTGGCAAATTGTATTTAATAAACAAAGAAATAGAAACTCTGTATAACATAAAATAATTTTTACTTAAATATCCTTTCCACCCTTGAAATCAGTATAAAACAATAATCTATTTTACTTGATGAAACCTTCTATATCTGCTAAGGCATCAAGACAGAAGAGTTATCTAACTAGATATTTTTACTATGTAGGAAGAAATGAAATAGTTTTGAACTAATGAAATGAAGTTAATACTTTTACTTACAGATAAGTGATATTTTCTTAATGTTGCTAAGGAAGATGTGAGAAACCTTTTATTTGATTTTTGAAGTGTCAGTCCTGGTTGAAGATAGTTCCCAATATAATAAATCAGTACCCCTCTCTCACATAAACGAGTCATGCAGACAAAAACTGAACAAAAGGAGCCTAAGAGTGAAACTGTACCACAGATCAAATTAGACACAGCTGCAGAGTGTTCCACCAACAGCTGTAGAACGAGTTCTATTTTCAGAGGCTTATCAAACATGTTCCAGAATAAGACCAGTAACACATTAGTTGCAATTCAGATAGCTGTAGCTACTTGGGTTTATTTATACTAGAAGACTTTTATATCTGATAAACAAATTCAGCCAAGTGGCACCCAACACAGTCAGAATACATACAAAAATAATAGATTTTCCACACCCACTACCAACCTGCTGAGAAATCAGGAAAGCAGTCTTCTCTCAGCAAAAGGAATATTTAGGGACAAGCCTCTGTGTTAGTTACTTTTCTCATTATAGTTAAAAGATAATTGACAGAAGCAAGTCAGTGAAGGAAGGTTTTATATTGGCTCACAGCTCTGGATACACTCCATCATTGTGGGGAAACATGGCCATAGGAATGTGAGGTGGCTGATCGCATGTGTCTACAGTTAAAAAGACAGAGAGATGAATGATGGGCTCAGCTTGCTTTCTCATTTTCATTCAGCCCTGTATACATTCCCATGGAATGATGTAGACCTCATTCTGGGTTTGCTTTCCATTCTCAACCCTTTTTTAAAACATTCACAAAGACATATTTATGAGTGTAGCTCCTAGGTTATTCTAACTGCACTTAAGCTGACAGTGAGATTACTCATCATATCTTGTTGAGGTGGTGAAAGGCTTCTACAATGAAAGTTACAGAACTCTGGAGAAAGAAATTGAGGAAGACACTAGAAGATGAAAAGACATTCCATGTTCTTGAATCAGCAGATTTAGTATTGGGGAAATGGCCATATGAAAATGAGCTATCTAGAAGTCTATATGATCACCCTCAAAATTTAAATGAGATTCTTCACATTACTAGACCAGTATCCTAAAACCACAAAAGACCTAAAATAGGCAAAGATGTCCTGAGTACCAAGAACGTTATTGAAGTTCCCAATATTTGATTTCAAGTTATAGTATAGAGTTGTAGTAATAAATGGGACCATCATAAAAGCAAGCAGTAGACCAATGAACTAGGGCAGAGGATCCAAAAATTATCCTGCACAGCCATAGATATGTAAATTTTGACTAAGGAATAAAAAACACTCATGAGAAAAATTTTTTGCAACCATTGATGCTGGGAAAATTGTATATTCATATGGAATACTAGAGCTAAATCCCCATATCCCACCCTATATATAAATCAGTCCCAAGACCTTAATGTAAGATCTGAAACTTTGAAATCAAAAGAAGACATATGGAAAATATAAAGACAAGCAGTGACTTAAGGAATATAACTCCATTGACTCTGGAAATAAAAGAATCAACAAATTGGATTTCATCAAATTAAAAAGCTGTACAGGAAAGGAGATAATTAATGAAGTGAAGAGACAGACTCTAGCAGGGAGAATCAGAGGCTTAACATCTAGCATATATGAAGAACTTAGAAAAACAACACCAAAGCAAGTCAGGGCAATGTGCAATCAATAAGTGAGCAGATTATCTACACAATTCTCAAAAGAACTTGTACAGATAGCTAATAATTATTAAAAAAAATTAGTGTTTTTAGGTATTAAGAAAGTTAAAACTGCATTGAGATTTCATTTCATTCCAGTAAAAATGACTATCCTGAAGAAAGCAACAAATGTTGGTTAGGGTAAGGAGAAAGAGCTCAAATCCACTACTCTTGGGGACTTATGAGTGTTGTCAACTGTGGAAATATACTGAAATCAGAGCTGCATATGATCCAGCTCTACCATTTTGAGTACATCCCCCAAGGGAATCAGAATCAGCATAGCTCTGTTCATCACACTATTCAAGCTACGGTGTCAGCCTAGGTGTTTGTCTACTGATGGATGAATGGATAAAGGAACAGGCATGCACACACAAGACCGACCCAGAGAAATGGCATACCATTCAGCTACAAAAAGAACAAAATTACGTCATTAGAAAAATGAATGGGACTAGATACTGTGTTGAGTAAGTCAGTCTCTGAAACATAAATAGCTCATGTTTTTCTTCCTGTATGAAAGTTAAAGAAAATAAACTACCTGAATATTCAAGAGGAGACTATTAGAGAAGTAGAAGATTTGCGGAGAGGATGGAGTGGGGTATAAAAAAATGTCTGTAGTTGTATACATGGATGAATCTCCCAATGTTAAATCCACTATTCTGTGTAATTAAAACTGCATTGAGTTTTTATCTTATCCCAGTAAAACTGGCTGTATTCAAGAGAGCAACAAACACTGGTGAGGGTAAGGAGGAGAAAGTTCTGTCTACTATTTATATTAGTATTGTCAATATGGAAAATCAATATGGAGATGCACAAATTAAAAGTTTCTGGTCTAGAAGTCACAAATTTTGTGCTGTGTTTCTAAGCTTGCCTTCTAATAGATCTGTGAACTTCTGCATCATCCTTAGTCCTTCTCAACATCATTAGCTCAGAGGCTAGCAGGCTTACAGAAGGCAGTTTATCACTTAAACAGACATTTTCTTGCCTGGTCAACAGTATAGTTTTCCATTTCTTCTGCTTTTTAGAAAAGATGTGTGTATGTATGTTTGTGTGTGTGTGTGTGTGTGTCTGTGTGTGCATATTGTTATTCTTTACATGTATGCAGAAGACCAGGAGGCCAGAAGAGGCCTTTGTAACTCCCCAGAGTATGCAGGTAGAGATGCAGGTAGTTGTAAGCTGTCTGATGACATGGGTTTTGAGAATTGGACTTGGGCCCTCCTCAAGAATTGTAAGTGCTCTAACCACTTTTCCAACTCTCCAGCCTCTTCCCTCTTCTTGAATAGCATAAGTTGAATTTTTAGAGGCTATTCTTAGGACTTACACTTACATTCCCCAAAATAAAAAACCAGAATGAAGCAAACAAAGAAACCAGCCTTTCTCCAGCCTCTTTTGCAGATAGAAATGACCATGCAGTGGTTTGTGTCAATGAGATGTAAATAGTCATGTGCTGCTAACAACATTTTGATCAGCAGCAGACTGCTGGTGCTGCTCCCATAAAGTTCTAATTGAGCTGAAATGTGATCTTTTCCAGTGATAGCAGCAGCCACTGTACTATTATGGCACAATGTACTATATGCTTGTGGTGATGTTTGTATAAAAAGAAACCTACTGTACTGCCAGTTGTATCAAAGTACCATAGAGTTGTACACTGTCAGCTACACCAGCATAGCTGACTCAGTTCCTTGGATCTGCGGAGGGCTGAGGGCGAGAGAAAGGAAGACAAGGAGTCATCTGGTAAAGAACTAAATGCTATATTTTCAACTGCGTAGCTCCCTTTTATACTCTTCACAAAACAGGAACAGGAACAAAACAGGAACAAGGAGATACACTCGGCAGCCTATCACCTAAGCTTGGATTTCTTCTTGAGCAGTCTTTTCAGGGAAATGCTTAGAGACGGGGAGCGGGCCTAACTGCAGGCACAGAGGATGGTGACTCACAATTCACCTTTTTTCTTTTAATTAGAGGCCTAGCGGAGACAGAAACCAGACCGTCAGTGAAAAATGGGGATATTGTAATGACCCCCAGCCCCCTGCTGTTGTACAGTGAGGTGGTATGGTCATACCCATCCCAGTGTCTTTTTCCTGAGGAGGGGAACTGTATTGACACCAACCCCTATGCAGCCAGGCATGTCTCTCAGGGAAACTCCCTTGCAGTCCCGGCTACAGCTCGGGCCTAGGTTAATGATTACGTTTTTTGTAACATGGTCAGCCACACTTGGGCAGAGGGATCCTCTCGACCATGTAAAAGCACCAATCCTCGCACAACAGCTTGAGATGGTACCTGTTGTGCCCAAAGGCGGCACAGACACCCAAAAAACAAGCATCAGCAAAAAGGCTAAAAACCTGCCAAGGAAGTAACTCCAGCCCACTCTTTTACCAGCATTCCCACTTAATGAAACATGCTCAAGATAGATGACCCATCAATAGGATCAACTCTGGTATTATTAACTAATACAATCTTATTAAAGAGCTGCCGAGTAAGATAGTAATAAGTAGGATTCCAAGAACCAGAAATCAACTGATTCAAATACTTAACAGAAGAGGAAGCATTAATAACATGCACAGGTGTAACACAAATGGCATGAAAGAAGGGATCATAGCTAACATGTCTGGTGGATAACATAAAAATCTACTTCTTCTTGAACCAAAGCAATTTGTTGATTTAAATTTAAAGCAGCAATATGAAAATGAGACTGAATATCACTCTGAGAAAGCAATGCATCTGCACCCTCCCTGAAAGTTCATTCAGTATCTGGGCAGTTTGTATGTTGCTGGATAAGGCAATGCCTGTGCCCACGGCAGCCCCTGTAGCGATGGCAATGGCGGCAACGATCCGGCAGTTATTACAGTGGTCACCATGTCCAGTGGAATGGTATAGTTCAGGGTCTAAGTAGCGTTCTTGGGATTGGCCATTGCAGTCACAAGGCAGGCACTTGCTAGTGCTCTCTGCAGTCGCCCTCCTCCATGGCTGGTCATTGAAGAAAGGCAGGAACTTTTTACAGTCAACTCTGTATGTGTTATGTTTGCAGTTGCACATGAGTTTGTCAAACTAGTTCTTTACACACTCGCTGGCATGTCCGTTACATTTACACCTGCTGCCCACAGCAAAGTCTGAGATTGCATAATAGTAGGCCTTGAGAACTCTGGGGTTTGCCAGAGTTGAAAAGGCCACATAGCCGCTGGTGAGGGGGGAAATGTCACTGAATTCATCTGTACACAAGGCCTGCTACTTGTCCCCTCCCATCCTGATGAAGCCACAGTTAGCCTTTGAGTACGGGTTCTCACAGGAGTTGCTGTAGTACTGGTAAGGTATCCAGGGCCCATCTTCCCTCGTGCGCTTATAAATGGCAAAACACTCTGGGCGGCTGGTATGAAACTTGAGACGCACATAAGTGATGTCAAAGGCCTTTCCAGGTGCAGTCTGAGGTTGATGGGAGTTGGGGTACTGCACCCCGGCCAGCATAGTCTGGATTTGCCACTGGATAGTGTTGGCCTGGTTGTTGTAGTCTGTCAGGAAGGCTGCCCCGTGTTGCGGGTGTTGCTGATCAGCGTTGCACAGGTGACAGGACTTGGTGACTCCGGTCACTCCAGTCTGCACGCAGTACTCCTCGAGCAGAGTCCCACACATGTTGGTAGCCACCACGGTCACATTGAAGGCGGCATTAACAAACTCCGGCATGCAGCACTGTGGCTGGCCGCCCTCATCCGCTCACTTGTCCATGGCCTCCTGGACACAGCCTGCCACAGCCGCCAGCACAGCCAGCAGAGGCCACAGATGCCCCCCGGGGCTGCAGGGCCAGTGTGCAAAGGCTGGGGTGCCACGCTGCAATCTCACACCCCAGATTGATGGCTCTACACTTCGGACGCTGTGTTTGCAGCATGGACCTCTTGTCACATGCCACCTGAACCTAACTCAAGGTAATGCTGTGGTCCGCTACAGTTCCAAGGAAGAAGCTGCCAGGCCCGCGCTGCCAGAGCCCTGTGGAGCCGCTGCCAGGGATGGAGCCCAGACAGGGTAAAAGAACAGGAAACACAAGAAGAGGAACGTTTGATGGAAGAAAAGAAAAGGCAGGAAGACAAGAAAAAGAAGGAAGGTGCTCAGAAAAAGGCTGTTGATCAAAAAACCAAAGTGTCAGAACTTCTTAAGACCTGTTCAAGCCAGCCCCAACCTGCTGGTACCAGTCCCAGTACTTCCAGCTTAAAAGTTATCTCGCCACAAACCATGGAGAGAATTTTTGTAATTCTTTCATAAATTCTTCAATAACCCTAGCTTTAACAACGGTTCCCCACTGAGCCAGAAGAGTAGATAGTTGCTTAGCCAGCAACTCCTTACTCTGTGCCAAACCCATGGTGTTTACTTACCCCAAACACTTACCTTCGGTTCGTGCCCAATTCGTCTCTTGTCTTAATGTGCGCCCCAGAGATGGCCGTCAGCAATTGTCCTCATCTTTCTGATCTCGGTGGAACCTCCACTTGTCAGCTATGCCAGCATAGCTGACTCAGTTCCTTGGATCTGTGGAGGGCTGAGGGCGAGAGAAAGAAAGACAAGGAGTCATCTGGTAAAGACCAAATGCTATATTTTCAACTGCGTAGCTCCCTTTTATACTCCCCACCAAAAAGGAACAAAACAGGAACAGGAACAAAAAACAGGAACAAGGAGATACACTTGGCAGCCTATCACCTAAGTTTGGATTTCTTCTTGAGCAGTCTTTTTGGAGAAGTGCATAGAGATGGGGAGCAGGCCTAACAGTGCAGGCACAGAGGATGGTGACTCACAGTACACAGCACAAAGTGCTTGACAATGATGATAAATGACTATGCAACATGTTTATGCATTTAATACACTGTACTTTTATCATCATTTGAAGCATATTCTTTATTAAATTTTTTCATTTTTTTTTATTGGATATGTTATTTACATTTCAGATGTTATCCCCTTACCCCATTCCCCCGGACCCTGAGCCAGGAACCCCCATCCCATAGCCCCTTCTCCTGCTTCTCTGCAGATGAGCCCCTACCTACACCTGCCCCCACTCTCACCCTTGAATTCCCCCCACACATGGCATCCAGCCTTCGTGGTACCAAGGATCTCCTCTCCCACCTATGCCCGACAGGGCCATCCTCCCTTACATATACAGCTGGAGCCATGGATCCCTCCCTAAGTGCTTCCAGGCTGGTGGTTTAGACTCTGGGAGCTCTGGTTGGTTGGTATTGTTGCTCTCCTCATGAGGCCACAAACCCTTTCAGCTCCTTCAATCTTTACTCTAACTCCTCTATTGGGAACCCCTTGATGAGTTTAATGGTTAGCTGTGAGCATCTGCCTCACAAACTCTGGCAGACATCTAAGGACAGCTATATCAGGCTCCTGTCAGTATGCACTTCCTGACATCTACATCAGTGTCTACCTTTGGTGACTGCCCAGGTAGAATGGTCTCCAGACAGCCCCTCCTTCAGTTTTTGTCCCATACTTTCTCTCCATATTTGCTCCCTTGAGTATTTTGTGACTCCTTCTAAGAAGGACCGAAGTACCCCAACTTGGTTTTCCTTCGTCATGAGCTTCATGTAGCCTGTGAGTTGAATCTTGGGTATTTCAAGCTTCTGGGCTAATATCCAATAATCAGTGAGTGAATGCCATGTGTGTTCTTTTGTGATTGCCTTACCTCACTCAGGATGATTATTTTCTAGTTCCATTCATTTACCTAAGAATTTCTTGAATTCATTGTTTTTAATAGCTGAGTAATACTGCATTGTGTAAATGTACCACAGTTTTTGTATCCATTCCTCTGTTGAAGGACATCTGGGTTGTTTCCAGCTTTTGGCTATTATAAATAAGGCTGCTATGAACAT